TCATTTTCTTTGTATTAACTAAACTAAGAAATTTCCACTCAATGTGTTGCATCCTCAATGTGAAATAATTTAAAGCATCTATTATTTTCCTAGAAGTCTACGTAAATTAATGCCATAGGGGAGCTAGAATATTTAAAAATTAAAACTCAGAGCCTAAAATAAAGTCTCAATTGTTACCGTATTTCTTAATAATTGAATATTCTTATGATTTTGTCTTGTACAGTATGAAGTTCCTGTGACCTTGGCATATGTTTTCACTTTCTGATTACTTACATATCAGATTCCTTTATGTTTTTTTTTAAAGTTCTGATATAACATGGGCATGTGCTTTATAAGAAGGTATATAACTAGTAAAATTCCTATATTTAGAAAAAATTTTTAATTATAAATATAATTTTACTCCAGGAAAAATGAATCATTGGTTTTTCTATTTTCCTCAGAATATCTGAATTTAATACCAAAGATTTTTATAATAAAGTGATTGTTGGCATATTTTACAATTTTTACGATGTTTATTCAGAAATGAAAGCTTTTGGGGCACTTGGGTCGCTCAGAAGGTTGAGCTTCTGACTCTTGGTTTCAGCTCAGGTTATGATCTCATTGTTTGTGAGTTCAAGCCCTAAGTCCAGTTCTGCACCCACACTGTGGATCCTCCTTGGGATTCTCTCCCTCTCTCTCTGCCCCTCTTCCTCCTCTCTTTTTCTCTTTCTCAAAATAAACTTTAAAAAAAACATAAAAAGAAATGAAAGTTTTTGTTTGCTTGATTCTAAAGAATGGATTATAGGGGCACCTGGGTGGCTCACTGTTTAAGCTTCAGACTTTAGCTTAGGTAATGATCTTGTGGTTCATGAGTTTGAGCATCCCCCATCGGGCTCTATGATGACAGCTCAGAGCCTGGAGCCTGCTTCGAATTCTGCATCTCCTTCTCTTTCTGCCTCTTCCCTGCTTGCGCTCTGTCTCTCTCAAAGGTAAATAAACATTAAAAAAAATTAAAAAATAAAGAATGGATTATGCCCTTAAATTATTAACTATTATTAATATGTTAGGGATCTATTAACAGAATACATTTTTTTTTAATTTTTTTTTTTAACATTTATTTTTGAGACAGAGAGAGACAGAGCATGAACGGGGGAAGGGCAGGGAAAGAGGGAGACACAGAATCGGAAGCAGGCTCCAGGCTTTGAGCCATCAGCCCAGAGCCCGTCGTGGGGCTCGAACTCACGGACCGCGAGATCATGACCCGGGTGAAGTCGGACACTTAACCAACTGAGCCACCCAGGCGCCCCAGAATACATTTTTTAATGTCTTAAGTGCTTAATGCATAAAAGTTTTCATTAGAGCTTTCCATGGTTGATTTTATTAAAAATTTTTTTCAACGTTTTTTATTTATTTTTGGGACAGAGAGAGACAGAGCATGAACGGGGGAGGGGCAGAGAGAGAGGGAGACACAGAATCGGAAACAGGCTCCAGGCTCCGAGCCATCAGCCCAGAGCCTGACGCGGGGCTCGAACTCACGGACCGCGAGATCGTGACCTGGCTGAAGTCGGACGCTTAACCGACTGCGCCACCCAGGCGCCCCTAATTTTAATGAATATTCTTTACAGTTTTACTCCCCATGAAGACATGCCAACAACTCAACATGTTTCTTTTTCATGGGTACACAGTCACAGTTGAAAATTATAGCTACATAGGGATGCCTAGATTCTGGTCATGATCTCGCGGTCTGGGAGTCTGAGGCCTGCATTGGGCTCTGTGCTGACACTGTGGAGCCTTCTTGGGATTCTTTCTTTCTCCCTCTTTCTCTGTTCCTCCTTTGCTTTAGCTTTCTCTCTCTCAAAGTAAGGGAGGTTGAAAAAATACATATATACATATATATGCCTCTATATCTCTATATATAGGCTTCCTTTAAATAATTCATCTTTTATTTATGTAGAATTTTTTGAGTTATATTTTGTCTTACTCAGGTTTGGCAATTCATAAACCATGAGATCATGACTTGAAGAGAAGTTGGACGCTTAACCAACCAAGCCACCTAGGTACCCCTAGAAGAACTTTAACATTTCCTATAGGACAGGTCTGCTGATAAACTTAGACAGGTTTTTCCTTGGCAAAGTGTGCATTTCTACATTCATGGAAAACAGTTGTGCCAAGTAGGGTATTCTTGGTGGATTTTTTTAAATATAATTTTTTGTTCTTAATTTACATCCAAATTAGTTACCATATAGTGCAACAATGATTTCAGGAGTAGATCCCTTAGTGCCCCTTACCCATTTAGCCCATCCCCCCTCCCAAAACCCCTCCGGTAACCTTCAGTTTGTTCTCCATATTTATGAGTCTCTTCTGTTTTGTCCCCCTCCCTGTTTTTATATTATTTTTGTTTCCCTTCTTCTATGTTCATCTGTTTTGTCTCTTAAAGTCCTCATAGGAGTGAAGTCATATGATTTTTGTCTTTCTCTAATTTCACTTAGCATAATACCCTCCAGTTCCATCCACGTAGTTGCAAATGGCAAGATATCTTTCTTTTTGATTGCCAAGGAATACTCTATTGTATATGTATACCACATCTTTATCCATCCATCCATCAGTGGACATTTGGGTTCTTTCCATACTTTGGTTATTGTTGATAGCACTGCTATAAACATGGGGGTGCATGTACCCCTTTGGAACAGCACAGCTGTATCCCATGGATAAATGCCTAGTAGTGCAAATGCTGGGTGGTAGGGTAGTTCTATTTTTAACTTTTTGAGGAACCTCCATACTGTTTTCCAGAGTAGCTGCACCAGCTTGCATTCCCACTTGGTGGATATTTTTTGATCTTTCAGTATTTGAATACATTGTTCCATGCTTTTCTTTCTATAAGGTCTACTGAAAATCCCAGTAACAGTCTTGTAGGAGCTCTTATACAAGATGAGTTGCTTTTGTCATGCTTTTCAAAATTCTTCCACTGGTCATTTTTGATAGGTTAATTACAACGTGTCACTGTGTTCATGTCTTGTCTTTTTTTTCTTGAATTTTTTATTTAAATAATAGTTAACATACAGTGCAATATTGATTTCAGTATAATTCAGCAGTTCATCAATTACATATAACACAGTGTTCATCATAACAAATGCTTTCCTTAATACCCATCTCCCACCATTGATATTTATCCTACTGTGAATTTGCCGAGCTTGTTAATTTGTCTCCTTTCCACATACATGGGACCTACAAGTCTTTAGTTCTTTATGGAAACTCTCTGCCCCCTTTCAGTCTCCTTTCCTTATGGGGTCCCCTTAATGTGTATATGGTTCACTTGTAGGTGTCCCATGTGTCCCTAGACTTTGTCATTTTCCACATTTTTTTTTTTTTGGTCCTCTTAGATAATTTAAAACAAGGGGTCTTTAGATTGTCCGATTCTCTCTTCTGCTTCATAAAGTCTGTTGCTGTCCCCTTCGTGTATGTTTAAATTCAGTGGTTCTACACTTCAGGTCCTAATTTCTCAGTGATTTTTACAGTTTGTCTCTTTGGGCTTACATTTTGGTCATGGATAGTTTTTCTGCTATCATTTAATTACCTATCTGCTTTCTCTTTTTCCTACATGGACATTTAAAAAAAAAATTTTTTTAAACGTTTATTTATTTTTGAGACAGAGACAGAGGATGAACGGGGCAGGGTCAGAGAGAGAGAGGGAGACACAGAATCGGAAACAGGCTC